GATGTTGATTTTATTATCTTGCTTAATATTTATATTAAACAATTATTATAATATTAATTATATTATTATGTTTTCCTTAATTATGTTTAATATTTTAAGAGTAAACCGTAATATTTATTTTGATAGAAGTATAAAGGACGATTAGTAAACTTGCAAACGTTTACATAACTATGGCTATTTTTATGAAGTAGACTATTTTAACCAAGTATTAATGTAAATTTGAATACCTTTAAGCATTGTTATTAATATGTTTATGTTGTAATGATAATAATTAGACTTGCAACGAATATTCGGTTACTATTCGGTATTCGGCATATTCGGCTGCTTTTATTATATTCGGCCGAATACCGAATATCTACATATTATTCGGCCGAATACCGAATACTTAAATAATATATTTTGTCATTGAGAAATAATTGGTAAAATGAAAAATTAAAATCGATTGATTACGTATATATTCATATTTTCATTTCTGTTATAATCATTTAAGTAGTCATTGGTGCATAACACAGGTACATAATCATCTTCTGAATTGGAAAAATGGAGGATTTTATGTATTTGAATTATTGTGGTAATCAAAATTTAGAAGGGTAAGGTTCTCATTTCTTTTATAATCATTTATTAAGTAGTCATTGGTACATAAAACAGGTACATAATTTAATTCACGTCTGTACAAGTTTTTGGCGCTAAAATCCAGCCGAATACTTTTGCCTAATATTCGGCTATTCGGTCAGGGGCCTCGCCGAATATTCGGTATTCGGTATACTGCCGAATATACTATTCGTTGCAAGTCTAATAATAATTATTTCCGTGTTCCCATTTTTATTTAAATATTGATATTGGGACTTAAAATCCATATATACAATTTTTAATAAAATAGAGTGAGACTGGCTATTATGTTTTTAAACATGATTTTTCTCAAACTGATTGAGTGAATAGAACAGGAAAATTGCAAAACAGTTTGTATATTTTTAATAAAAACTGTAACTAAAATGTACTTACTTCCTGTTCTCTCTCTTCATCACCCAGGGGTTGACTGGTAGAGAATGCCTTAGGCATTAGGTCCGCCAATGCACCTAATGTGCATGATGTGTAAATAAATAAATGTTTGGTTGAGCATGAGAACTACGTGAAAAACTTACATAAGTAATATTTATTTGTTAATTTATGCACAAGTATTTGATATTCGTCTTATGTCAACATAAAAAAGCACAAAATTTGGCAAATAATAAATGATTTTAATTATACGCTTTAAATTAGCTTCACTTGTATGTTTGTAACCGACTCCTTTGGGCGTGATTTTGATTGACTAAACGGTCACAATTCGTTCAAACTTTGTAGGATATCGAGGACCGATAACAATACACTAATTTAAAAAAAAAATACGTTTTAATAAACTAAAAAATTGAAAATAAATTTGAATAAAAAGCGTGGCGTGCTTTCTACTATTGACAACAGGCACCCGCTAAAATACATTTTGTTTAAATACCATTTTCTTGAATATAGGACATTTAGCCAACTATGCTCCTTATGAAAGCGCATCTTGTATATTTTATGTTTTGCAAGATGCGCCTATAACAAATTTATAATAATAACCACTCAGACAGCGACAACACCCCACACTCCCCCGTAAAGGGGAGCGAACGATCATCGAGGACTCCCAGTAGTTCTACTAAGGCCCGCCTCACGCTCAGGGTGCCGCGCCACGTCTCCTCATCGTGGCTTGCGAGGACTCACATAGTGTGAAAGTCTCGGGAAGAGCTTACTATAGAAATGATCCTATGAAGTAAGGTCTTAACACATTTTGCGGCCACTCGCCACGTCATTCGCTTACGGAGACTCTTAACACCGCAACTCAGTGAGTGACGTCACGTACGTAGCGCCACCTAGTTTAAGTGGATCGTAACTAAGAGCGACGACACAAGATACACATGGTGTTTTGTCATATTATCTCTATATCTTTTAAGTAGATTGAGGTTATCATACACGTGCGAGGTGAAGACGTGACCTTGACTTGTTTACAAGCCGATTGAGCTTCAAACGGGTAGCTAATAATAGTTTTACTTCTAGATTGTGGTGGTTGGTGACAAATGTATATTTACCCCATAAAAATATCAATTACACTTTCATTCATCATATTTCCTTCGTATGAAAGGACCATACTTGAGTATGTATATGTATGTATATTTAAAAGAGAGGTTTCAGTTTAAGCTAGCCGAATAAAACCTTTTTTCTTTTATATGAGATTTCTATTATTATTTTTCTGTTGTTATTTGAAAACACATAACATAGGCATTAATAACATTAGTATAAATAAATCGTCTTTTGAAAAAGAGGGCTGCGCTATCCATTTGTCCAGATTTCACAAAAAAAAGTCGTTTTCCCTCACAACATAATATCCAGTCCTTAAGGAAATAACTTGAGTTGTTGTGTACCAACGAAGTTAAATATATATATATATTATTTTTTTATTTAACTGTAACTATTCTGTGTGAGAGAAACATAAACGATTTTTATCTTTATTGTGAAAAAATAAAAAGGTAATATTTTAAGCCCCAGGCGTAGGTCAATCGTATTGACTGATAGCCATGATACAGGCTGCACTTAGTATGGCTATCATAGTCAACGTAATAATATAATTGAATGAAATAATAAATGCTTATTATTTTTATGATTGCCCACTCTCCCCTGTGAAGCAGAGTTTACAATCATCAGGGCTAATGGTAACTGTACAATTGCTCTTCTCAGGTTGTATTCTGAATGTGTAATAACATGTCTATAATACAATTATTGCGTAATCATCATCAGCCTATGCATATATAGCCCAATGGGAGAGGCCTATGTCCAGCAGTCCACTGCTGGACATAGGCCTCTTCCATTGCACGACACTTAGATCGATTTTGGGCTTCAATTGCGTATTAACTATTTACATTATAAAAATCTTAATTATTTTTAAGGTGACCAAAAAAATTAATAAATATTACATGGTTATGATTAAAAGAATAAAGATTTTTTTAACTTATTATTTATTGTAACATTATTGCCTAAAGTTTATTTAGTTACAAGGTTACCACGACAAGACATGTTTAATTAAAAACAAGTTGAATATATGTTTTTGATACAAAAAAATCTAGAGTAAAAAAAGGTACGAAGCAGAGTTATTCTCTATTTGAGAAACATAGTAACAACATTTTTGAAGAATAATTTAAGTAATACTTTGATTAGGCACAAATATGTGGACACAAATAAATATTTTAAAAGTTTTGAAAACATGATTTCAAGATTTTCAAAGACCATTTTCAATAATAATACGCATTCTTTGCTAAGTGCTTATTTTGCGAAATGCTCCTTCTGAGAAGTGCACCAATTTCGAAATGCACCTATTTTATTCTGTACACATTATGCTACTGAACCAAACAAAACTAACTTTCACATTTGTAATATAAGTATTGATTTTGTATAATATTATTATATTTAATCCCTCGGTAGCACTCTTTTTATTTTATTTTATTTACAACTTTATGCACTTATGTACAACGGCGGGCTTAACGCCCAAGGCATTCTCTACCAGCGAAACCTTTAGGGGGTGTAGAAATCTGGTGAGGTGTTTATAGGAACTTTACAGGAAACGGTATCTTTTACAGCAGTTTTAATAAACTTATAATCATAAAAGAAATAAGTAATACATAAAAAAACTAAAGGCAAGTAAAGTATAATTAAGTTATATTAAAGCGTGTGAAACTTTAAGCTAACATGATTAAACGAATGATGTAAAGATATCTATGTATAGAACAAAAGTTTGTAGTGTGCTAGGATGTGATTAGGTCTCTTTAAGATCTGCTAAACTAGCACGAAATAAAAAAAATTAATCGTGCTGCACTTTTTTTTTTAGGAAATTAGTTTGCGTATTTATAACAGGATATAGCGATATCGTTATCTCGGGTATAAAAGCTTGCTGCTATAATTACCACGACTGCTACAGTTATATTACTTTACAAGGGGGACAGCGCGTACGCAGTCCCCACTACCAAAAATTACGCATCCGAGTTATCCACATCTATACTAATATTATAAAGCTGAAGAGTTTGTTTGTTTGTTTGTTTGTTTGTTTGTTTGAACGCGCTAATCTCAGGAACTACTGGTCCGATTTGAAAAATTCTTTCAGTGTTAGATAGCCCATTTATCGAGGAAGGCTATAGGCTATTTATCATCACGCTAAGACCAATAGGAGCGGAGCACCAATGAAGAATGTTTCAAAAACGGAGAAAATTTATTACTATTGAAAGACGCAGACGAAGTTGCGCGGGTCAGCTAGTTAGGGATAATCGCAGAGGTCAACCCAACCGCAGTGCAATGGGAGGGTCTCGCCCTGGGAGAACCACCTTCATGATCATGGTATCCCCTATGCCAGGTAAGTATAATTTACCAAACGTTTGTAGGAGTAGTCATTCATGTGCGGAGAATCTTAACACCGACTCATTCATTACTAGATTCGCCATCTAGTAGTAGGAAACGTTAAACTTCATAACGCCATCTATTTGATCCTATGTCACTAGTTTCTAACTAACTTTTAGCGTATGCCGAGTGTAATTACAAATAAGTTAGAGCGTTTTTGTCATATTCGTCTGTACCAATGTATGACGTCATCGAAGGCTAATCGTACGGCGCCTGTTTCATCGAGTAAAAAGTACAGTTTTTTTTTCATTATTTTACAATTTTTCAACTGTTTTTTTTCTGTGTTATTTAGTGGCTTTTGACAAGTTTTATGTAAGTAAGTTTTAAATATAATAATAAAAATTAAAAATGTTCACTACCGTTGTCGGAGTTTTATCATCGGATTTCATGGTATTCGACCACCGAGTGAATTTTTGTTAAATTAATTTTGTATATATTTACATGACAATTATTAATGCTATGACTATATCTGACCAGGCCGTTATCATAGGCCTACCGCCGGAGTCACACTGGGATGTGAATGATTCAAATAAAAATTAAATTAGTTACGGAAGAAGTGATAAAAATGGCGGCCGTACCTTGTGCACGATCTCGAGGCAGTGCAGCGCGTGCAGGCTGACGGGCGCGGCGGGCGTCAGCGACTCCAGCGCAGACGCCGCCGCCGACGGCTCCGTGCTGCACACGCGCGCCAGGCACGACCCCAGCCGCCGCACGTCGCCGTCCGACAGCCTGCCACACGCACCATTATATGATGATATATCATCATCATCATCGACAGCCTCTACTGGTCCACTGCTGGACATAGGCCTCTTCTTAGAAACTATAACCACGTTTGCCAGACGGGTCGGTATAGGGTCTGTTTAAGTTTTTTTCTTCTTTACACTTCTTGTCCTGCGTAGTTTATTCCCTCAGTCGGCTCTTACGACACCCACGGGATGAATAGCGGCCGATATCTAGCACCGGTTCCCGTCACACGCTTCCGTCCTCCTCACAAAATCGTTCTCATAGACTGCGAGGCATCGACAGGAATGCAACAGGAAACATGTTATGTAACAAAAAAGGTAGTAAAACACTCACGTAGGGCGTATATGCTGGAAGATGAGAGGGAAGATCTGTACGAGCGTGGTGAGAAAGTTTAAAGATGGAGCGTACACCTCCACCGGTTTGCCGTCTTCGGTCGCTGGAATACATAGAGGAAGAATATTATTGAGATAAATTCTACATTTGTCCTTTTCGAAAATATAGTATATAGTGAAATTAAATAAATATTTTATACTATTTTAGATAGCGTCAGTAATGTTAGTCTACTCACGGTGCTACCTCGGTTAAAAATTGTACAATTCTATTATTTCAAAAAAAAAGTGAACTTTTATGTGGCCCTTTTTTAATAACAATTTCTTTTATAATGATGTGTTCCCTGTTATAAGTTCGAAGTGTTCGGATTAGCTTCTGAGTATTTTGCAAGTCTACATACATCTCTTAAGCTGAAATATGTGAGGTATATTCGTGAGCGACGTACGGTGCGGGCGGTGCGGGTCGGCGCCGGCGATGTTGCCCCAGGCGGCCCAGGCGGCGGCCCAGGCGCGGCGCAGCAGCGGCGCCGGCACGTCCGTGGCGCGACCCGCCGCCGACACCACCTCCTGGAACGACTTCAGCGCGCCCACCGACACCTGCGGCACAGACTCACATAGTTAGTTTTTTTTAGGCACTGATCCCTCTTAAACACTCACTACTGTAACTCCCATACACCAGGATCAACGAGTGACCCACGAACTCGGTTTGAGTTATGACACTCAGGAAGTCTCAGTAAGAGTTAAACTGTCTCGGAACCCGCACGCGTTTAAAACATATCAGAGGAGTTGGAAATATAATAAATCCACTTCCCTCCTCAGCAAAACGGGAAACAAAAATGAAATAAAGTTAAGCATACACCCTAATAGACAGGAAAACACTAGGGACACAAAATGTTATGGGTCCTAAGTGAACTATATTTAATTCTTATATTATATATGACAGACTGGCCCAAGCGCACACAAATTCACGTTAGTTTACACCAGATCCCCATACTATAATAATTTACAATTACACACTAAAAATATTCGATTCCACACATTACTCATTTACGCTTTACTGAGCGATTTTATACTTCATTCCATAAGTCATACGATCCATATTTAATAAGCGATCCTTCTGTAAATAATGACAATTCCCTTTAATGAAAGTTTTCAAAATAAATTACCTCGTGACTCCGTCTTAATGCAAAATCAGTAATATAATCCAGCAACGCTGTCCACGACCTGTTGAAATCTCCTACTGTTGTGAGAAGTTGGAACCGCGAGTGAAACACACGGGACACCCCTGATAGGGTTAGCACCTGGAGGGAGACATAATAAAGGTATTTAACAAAAGAAAAAACTTTTTGTTTTATTTATTATTTTACTCATGTATGTATATGAGGATATGTCCGACTTGTGTAAGTCCTTTAGCGAGGAGTGAAGCCTGAAACCGTTGACCACAGCCAATACAACCTGGACCTCAATTCTGCTATTTTATGTTAACGTACAAGTCACTGTTATTCGATTAACACGCCATTGAAATGCCATTGATATCGGTCAAAATATCGGCATTCTTGTACATACATTCACAGTATCAATAGACTGTCGATGTAATATCAATTACTCATCAATGGTGATATTAACAATATTGCCATATCTCGAAAATGAAATTTATCATTTCCTTACAAATTTTAAATGTAAAGTTTAGTAAACTATTACAAAGACATCGACGACATTTGTATCAGTGTCAGTTCAGTGAAAAGTCATCCACTGGCCACTGGTCTTACATAGTTAGTAGAATACGAAAGTTCAAAACTATTCCGACGACATTCCGTCGACAGTCTATTGATACAATATTAAATTAGGTCTACCCTTTATAGCAGAACTTTTGCATAACAACGGATAGTATAAACTATCATTTATCACACATTTAAAACTCATAATTTTGTAAGTCATAATCATCTTCAGGCATAAATACATATTCATAATGATTAAAAAGTAAAACCATCACATCGCCGAAAGTTCATATCCAGAATCGTTTTGTAGCAAAACGTGACTTTTTAAGATAATATTTTAATAAAATGCTATTTTATGGCACTATGCCTAATATTTTATGTCAAATGAAATTGTACCAAATAATCGTCTCTCTAAATAAACGTTATGCGAATCAAAATTTTGCGACATTTTATCTCTGTCAAAGATAATTATGATAAATAAAATTATGCCATCTTAGAAGTATGTTATTGTAAATTCGGCTAAAGTATTCAGCTAAACAATAATAATTTTTATGCCTTAAAAATAGTCGTTTAAAGCAGATTCTGCCAAGTGTTAAGCGACATAAATTTCGGAGCATCGAGATTCTGCAAGATAGAGGGAACCTTATTAAATTAGTAGAACTGAGGCCCTGGTCGAAACGTCGGGTAATTCAAAGGTATGTACTTAATACTTACTATGATCGCGTTAATTCCCATAATACATAACGCGATAGTTTAAAAGTTAGTATGGCAAAGACGTTACAAAATTTAAAACATATTTTTAATTGTCAATCATTATTACCTGTGTCTCTGCCCACTGCTTCTGCGCTGTGTTCCTCGTGTGATGTATTAGTATATGTTCGCCGGTATCTACCTTCTCCGAACTTGCTATGTTAGACTGCTTTTGTACCTGAAAAATGAATCATTCAATTTAGGACTACTTATAGTCTTTAATTGCAACCGGCGCACTAGGATATCGTTTTTCATCCTTTAACGTAGGTCAAGGTCAAAGATAGATTTTTGTATATAAAGTTCTTCTGTGTGTTTATCACTCAATTTCAACTAAACCGCTGGATTAATTTTAATGATTTTTTTCGTGTCTGTTTGAGCAACGATCGTTGCTTTGCTGTTTCTCATAGTTTATTTATTTTGCAAAACTTGTCCTTCCATTAACACACCACAATGTAATACGAGATATAATATCGGGCGGTGTGGTGCTCTGCGACCAACAAGGAAGGTATACCTGGTCCAGCATGGGGAAGAGCACGGCGAGCAACGCGCGCCAGGCGGGCTTGCTCAGCAGCGTGCCGTGTGCGCCGATGCAGCTGAACAGCGTCTGGCTCGCCGCCCGCCGCACCGGCGCGCGCGGCTCCGTGCACAGCTCGCCTGGAACCGACCACAACACGCTATTTATCTCATGTATTAATCTTATATATAAAATTCTCGTGTCACAATGTTAGTTACCATACTCCTCCGAAACGGCTTGACCGATTTTTATTAAATTTTGTGTTCACATTGGGTAGGCCTGAGAATCGGCTAACATCTATTTTTCATACCCCTAAATTACAAGGGTGACACCCCCCTATTTTTTTTTAATATTTCCTAGAAATAATGTACATGGCAAAACGTTTTTTTTTAAGACAACTCCCGCATTAGACATGTATCTTGTGTCGCGGGGGACTTTACAAACACACATGAAACGGACACAAAGAACACCTAGACTTAGAACAACAATTCGTGGATCACGCAAAGTGTCGTCCCATGTGGGGATCGAACCCACAACACTCAGTAGGGGAAGCGGCGTCGCGACCGCTTAAACCACTACGCCATCAGTGCAGTCGAAACCTTTTATATATATATAAAACATTGAAAACTTAAGTGGCAGTGGACGGGGCACATCGCCCGCAGAAAAGATGGCCGATGGGACCACAAAATTCACGAAGGGCGACCGCGCACTAGAAAACGCAGTATGGATAGGCCCCCCACCAGGTGGTCCGATGACTCGGTGAAGATCGCGGAAAGCCGTTGGATGCGGGCAGCACAGGACCATTTCTTGTGGCGAACCTTATGGGAGGCCTTTATCCAACAGTGGACGTCTTTCGGCTGAGATGATGATTGAAAAAAAGAGTTCAATATCTTTTTTCGTTCTATTAACCGTTTTTTTTTTAAATTACTGTTTTGTTTGTTACAGACGGTCAACCATTCCCCCAAGATCAGGGGAATAGGGCTCTAGTAACCTCATTCACTCAGTAAAAAGCAGCGAAACAATTCCTTACCAACAATTTTCTGTGAAGTCCTGTGACCCTGTGACTCTCCCAAGGCCTTCGCTTTTTTTTATACTGGTAGTTAAGATAACTTTATAATTCATTTTACTTACATGTCTTACGGCTAAGCAACTATTGTCGAGCTTTTGTATCACCCTGGGAACTGATATCATAAAAAGCCCAAAATATGTTGTCTAAGTATTTTTTTGTTATACATCCGTTAATTTTACATCGCATGAAGCACGTTTTGCTTCAATTTTCAAATAAATCCTATTTGAAATAAGATTAGTGGAGTTGACCAACGGGCGAATACTTATTATTATTATAGCCTCTTTATTTTCATAATGAATGAATTACAAAACAAATATATAATTTTGCTAAAAATTAAATGACTCCATTTTTTTTATAATAAAAACTTATACAGATAAGTATTGCTAACAGGATTTCTGCGTGCTCTTCAGAAAATCTGTTAAATTTTAAATTTGAATATAAGAACGAACAAACTAAGATTTTTCAAAAATATCAGTAAGAGAACCAAAACATAGATACATTTCCATCAAGGTCTATACTCACTTAGTCTGATGTACAGACACATCCAGAGCTTATCCAAAGGCGGTAACTCAGCATGGTTGGGCACCTCGGGACACACGGCCGCGTCGCTGGCCAGCGCAGCTACTAGCTTATCGCGATTGTGATACAGGTAATCTGATATATTCCACTGAAAAAAAAACACCAATATATTTATTTCTAATAATAATTGAGAACTTTATTTTGTGTATACAAAATTTAATATTTTTCTTAGTACATTTAAAAGAGTAGGAAATACTTCCTTGAGTATGTAATCTAACAGACCAAGAGTAGGAAATACTTCCTTGAATATGTGCTGTAACAGACCAAACGGTTTATAAAAATATAATGAAGAGATTAAGGCTTTTTAAACACTGTACTTACGTTTGCCGCATGTAAGTATACACGCACGTGAACGTGACCGTGCACGTGCGTAGGTGTGACTCCGCGTATACTGCGAGATGTAGGTAATGTTTATAGGAAATGAAAATACAATGTCATTACTTACCATAAGTCCAACAGCAGTCAGACTAATATTCAGTTCCTTAGTCTGGGTAGCGAAGGCAGCCGCTGCTGCCAGAACTTGCCGCAAACATCTTGGACCGGCACACCCTAACAAGTCTCCCGCTACAACTTGAGCACATTGGAAGGCTGACCTGATGAGTTGTTCACTACGAAGAGATAAAAAGATATGTCGGTGTAAGTATTCTTTGATTTTTAAGTTTTTTTTTAAGTTATGTCAAAGGATCACCTAATACTAAGTGACTACTACCGGCGCGGGTGGCACCACACAGTAGCAGTTCGTGAATACCTGTGGTGCGGGGATATAGCCGAGATGATCTCCATCATGAGCGGCCAGGCGGCGCCGAGCTGGTCCCCGCGCGAGTGCAGCAGACGCGCGGCGCACTCCAGCTGGCGCGCGCGCACGTCGCACTGCCGCACGCTGCACAGCTCCGACAGCGGCTCCAGCAGCAGACGCTCGCGGGCCTGGAAATATCGTCACGATACGTCCTGTCATGGCTGTTTAATCTTAAATTAGCCTGAGGGAGGTGATGGGTCCCTCGACAATACGATAACATACTCATTCTATTGTTATTACACAGATATTATAAACAAATCCTGTTTGTGACATAAAATTCAACCCAGCATTTCTAAATTATCAGCTTAACTAACTACGCATCGATCGGGAACCATACCCGGACGACATCAGGTTCCAAGGCTTCGACGATAATTTCTAAGAACTTGGATTGGTGAAGGGGGCGGGGCTTGATCGATTCGTCACTATTTTCTTAACGCGAATGGACTATAGATTAAGAAGGATTTATTTTTGGAAGCTGTTTAAATAAAACTACTACAGAAATAGCACACTTAGTTTCACTTGGATTGTCCAATTATGCCAAAACAAATATTGGAGTTAATAATATTGTTTTAATCAAATAAGAACTTAAAGAATAAGACTGAATGAATAACAGAGAACCTTTAATTGAGTGTACTCATAAATGAAATTAACACAAACGACTTACCTCCGTAACCAAAACTGGGTTATTATGATGATATTGGAAGGCTGCTTGAACAAGATAAGTAATAGCTTCTACTCCCCACTCTCGCATCCGTATGTGGGGATGTTGACAAACCTGAGATGTGACAAGTTTCGATTATTTTGTAATATTATATCTGTTAATAATAATCATCAACACCCTTTAATAGTCCACTGCTGGACGTAGGCCTCTTCTTAGAAAGGTTTCGGCCAACTATACCACGCTGGCCAGACGAGTTGGAAGACCAGAAGGATAACTTAAAACTAACCCAGTTTTCATTTATCCTTCTCCGCGACCTTCTCCAACAGCCACGGGATGAAGAGGGGGTGGTGACACAGCGTATTCTTAATTGCCACACGGATAAATATTAATAAGGCATTGTAAAAAAAGATTTATTTGTTATGATCTATTTTTTCTGACTCATTATCAGTCAGTCTGTCTGTTTTCAAGAGAGTTTGAAACAAATTTAACAGCCCCTAACTGATGGTCATAGGCCTCTAATTAGCAAGGAGTTTAAAAAAATAAGCTCTTTTTTAACCTTTAATCTCGACTACAAAAAAAGTCAATTCAAACAGTAATAATTGACCTTCTCCTTTTTAAGTCGGTTAGAAATATAAAACTTACCTCTAACAGATGATTGGTGATAGGCCTCCACATCACTTCAATCCTGTGCATATTAGCTAAGCCGGTTTCTAGTAACTTTGCCACTGCGAATAATGACGGTTCCTAAAACGAAGAAAAAAAAACGTTCGTAAATAGGGACGGAAGCGTGTAACATAATTCCTGTTCAATGTATGTTGTATCTTAAGTATATATATATGTATTGTTGTAAATTCTATGGTAATAGATACATTTACTATTTAAAAAAAATGTGTAGTTATTCGATATTCCTCCTGCTCCTCCTTTCTGAAGTGTAGCATAAGCGGAGTACAGAAACGACTAGACGCGTCGTTAGACACTGGTCGAATCACATCACATCAACAGCCTTTAATAGTCCACTGTTGGACAAAGGCCTTAAAAAGGAGATTTTGGCCTACTATACCACGCTAGGCAGACGGGTTGGTATAGGGTTTGTGCCAAGTTTTACTTCTCTTGGCAGTACTGATGTCCTGCGTAGTTTGCTCCCTTGGTCGGCTCTTACGACACTGACGAGATGAATAGGGGTCGTGACACTCCGTATTCTTAATCCATCACCACACGGACACCTGGTCGTATAAGTTGCGGCAATAAGAATGTAATTGACTGCAAGAAAGTGACTGCACGATGGCGTAGTGGTTGAAGCGGTCACCTCCTACTGCGCTAAGTGTTGTGGGTTTGATCCCCACATGGAACATCACTTTGTGTGATCCACAAATTGTTGTTCTGAGTCTAGGTGTTCTTTGTATCCGTTTCATGTATGTTTGTAAAGTCCCTCACGACACAGGATTTATTCCTAGTGCGGGATTTGTATTTTAAAAAAAAACTACTTCTCTTACTCTATTTGAATACGCCAACTCCATGGCCTCGTTGGATAACTTGCACAGCGCGTCAATTAAATGATGAAGAGCTACATCATCGAGGTTCTTGGACGACTCGAAGACGCGTGACAACATGGCTGATAAAGCTGGAATAAGGACAAAATAAACCATTTTATTAAACGGGAACATTGTCATTACACATAAACTGAATTCTTCGTAAGAACCAGACTGCATGGATGAGGAAATCGTTGGCATAGAAAGACATTAAAATAAAATAGGTATGTATTTAATACTTAATCTAGATTTAGGCGATGAGTACGTCTTATGTTCGGTTACCTGTTTTGAGGAAATTTGTTACTTTAAATTTTTGCGTTAAATTGGGTCGTCCACAGTAAAGTCGGAGACTCAGATAAATAGCTGATATCAACCAGGAATTGATAAGGGCTTTAAGGAAGTTTTCTAAGGCTATAATTTTTTTAGTAAATTTCAACTCATGTAATAATGAAGCTACAGGTTTTTGATGGATTCGAGATTGGCCCTTTTTTTTTTCAACAACAGCCTGTATCAAGGGCTTAGATACAATGGACTATAAAACGAAGAATGGGTAGTAAAATATGGCCCACACTGTATTCATAGTTTATAATAAAACGTTATAAAAATAGTTTTTAACTAATATATAGAAAAAAGCGAGAGAATGTGCTCAGCGTGTTTTTATAATATTAACCTAGAACGACAAAAAAAAACATAATAAATTTAACACAAAACTTCACATTAACAAGGTATATATTGAAGGACAGTAATTAAATTCATTTCATCTCTTATTTCACCGTGGGAGAGCCATGCTTCAGTACAAAAGGACCAACTCGACCGGTGTGATACTACGGCCTCACAGAAAACTGGTGTTAAGCAGTTCTTTCATCGCTTTTCACCGAGTAAGTTTTTTTCTATGATAGAGGGGGCAGATGAGCAGACGGGTCACCTAATGAAAAGTGACCATCGCCGCCCATGAAGGTCTGCAACTTTAGGAAGGAGTAAGCTCTTTTCTTGAAGGTTTGAAGGTCATATCGGTCGGAAATACCGCAGACCCGTTCCACAGATTTGTGAGTGAGGTAACCGGAGCCCAACTCCACCCCTTCCGTAGTTCGGTAAACTCAAAGGGTGGCAACCATGAGCGCTGGTAGTCACCTACACACATACCATAAAAAACAACAGTGGTCTCAATACAAAGAAATACAATTGAAGTGTTCGTTTGTATGTGAATCATAATGACAGATTTTTCTCATTTTTTAAGTCCACAAACTGTTTAGTATTTAAAAAGAAGATACATGGCCTTCTTCCTAATGAGATGGCAGAATCATCTAATCGATAGTGCAGCAACAATTTTTCTTATATTTTTAGTGTACGAATATAATGTAAATATGTATGTTTGTATATATCTAAACTTATATGTATATTAAATGTTTTTTTTTTCTTAAAAACCTTACTAGTAACCGAAATTACTAGTATTCCCGTTACCCCTCCAGCTAAGCTAAATTGCTTGTGTTAGGAGTCGGTTCACGTCGGTAGTGTACTGGTCAAGATTCGAACCCACAACCTCTGGATCGCAAGTCTAATGCCTTAACCACTACCGTCGCTTAAACAGTGTTTATTTATATATGATGTGTATATATTATGTATGTAGTGTTGTATAGTATATATTTTAGTTGATTAGTAATGTAATTTATGTGCGCCTACCACTCAACGATTTCTCTACTACCTAAAGGTTGTCTGGAAGAGAATGCCATAGGTAATAAGTCCGCCAATGTACAAAAGTGCATGAAGTTATGTATATAAATAAATAAGTGCACCCCCAACACAGAATTAGGAGAAAGAGAGTTGGTTGGGTCTGCAGTCACCTTCCTTCCCAAAAGCAACGAAAGAAATTTAACACTGCTCTTCTGTATGAGGCCGTGACATTACTACGGTCGAACTGGCTTGCTTGTGGCGAAGTATAGCCATCCCACGTTCAAAGCCATCTCCGAGTAAATGTTACATTACTTAATTACTGTACTATATAAAACAGGGGACACATAAACACACAAACGGCCAGCAAGCTCCATCCCAGTGCTCCAGTGATAAGCTTTTAATTATAACCCTTACATTAGCTGTATACATTTGGAACGTTTGCATTTAAAAATAAAGTAGCTGTACCCTACCACACTTCGCTGTGACACATATGATATCTTTAAATGAACATTACACATAAATGATTTGACAATAGCAATGTATGACGTCACACCTCAGTATTTCATACAAAAATTGACCGCATGTATAGTTTTCACGTTAAATAATAAGATACTGACTTGACTTGACAGTCGTCTACCCTATTAAAGCCAATGTTTGACAGTGAAGATCACTATGTAATTTTATTATACAACATTTTAGGCGTACAGAAAACTACGTAGAGAGCGAAGCTAATCTACCAGATATACGATACCCTGATCTGAACTGGTATCCCCTCTTTTCCCTAAGACAAACAACACATTGAGTTCCACTCCCAAATCTATCACCAAAGAAACAAAACACAAGACAAGTCGTTTCCAAATGTATACATATGAATAAAGTGTATACCGCTCATGACTCCCAGTGACTCCGCTACGGGAACTTGCTGCCCTGTGGAACATCGCATGTGTACTCAATAGGATACAAGTGTTAGTTATAGGATACAATATATACAGAAAGGTTAGCCGACGAGGTTACGTCTAGTTTTGAGATTGTGGATAATTAAAGATAAATAAAACTTATTTCAACCGCAGTTAAGCTTAAAATATCTCAGCTGTTTTGACGATTGCTTATATAAACAGCGGTATTTGTTCTAAATTAGACCTTACATATAAGCAAAGTAAGTGCAGTATGGGTTAACAGAGTACACGAATTAAATACTAACCCGGTAGGTCAGCCATGACGGCGGAGGTGCTCATGACCGCGTTGGCGTCGGCGCTGGCTCGGCTAGCCTTCATGCTGCCCCCAGTGGACGGCTTCAACCCCAGGATCCATACCTGGATAAAAACACTATATGTTGATAATAGCTATGAAGTTTTAAAGCATATAATAATATTATAAATTTGAAGATTTTACGTATAATAAAAAAAATATCTTCGAAATTAGCATTAATATAGATGTTTATTCATTAATTCATGTTCATTCCTGCTAATTTATATTTTATTTTATACAAATGACATCAACTAAAAAAATGGCGTAAAAGTAATGCTAGTAGTAAGTTAACTTCAAGAGAAGAAAGGGGATAGGAGCCGGAGGGACACAGAGGGGGAGAGAGAGGGAGAAGGGGAAAAGAGGTGAGAGAGATAGAAGGAGAAGGGGCAGGGGGAAGCAAAAAAAAAAGGGGGAGAAGGAGTCAGGGAGGACAGCGAAGGCGCGGTGAAGAGACAGAGGGAGAATAGGATGGAGAAAGGTGGGGGGCATTTGGACGAGGAAATAGAGACATAAAGGAGGATGGTACTCACTAAATGTTGTAAAGTAGTGAGCACAGGCAACCACGCTTGTTGTATCGTGTCGCCATCCCTTTGTGCAGCGCACAGCAATGCTTTCATTGCAGTCACGTGTCGAGAGGTTACCATCACGAACGATTGCTGTTGACCTGCGGAACGAATACCTATCAGGAATTGAGAGTTCTGACAGTTACCGATGATGAAATCTCATGGTTGCTGTAAATCTGTTGTCATGTAAATTCATAGAAGTAACTAGCTGGACCCAGCTATGCTTTGCTGGGGCGTATTGTGGTTGCGTTGGTGAGAAATGAGGAACAAAGCTGGCGCGAAAAATAGATAACCATTTTTAAAGGTTGTATATCTTATTCTAAATTTCAGCCTCAATCGGTGCGGAAAACTCGAGTACACAAATCGATTTAACATTGATATATATATATATATTAGCTATCGAAATCGAGGCGTGTAGTTACCGCTGGGCAGCTCGGCGGAGGGCAGCGGCGTGCCCACCCACACGACCTGGTGGCGGTAGTCGGGGTCGGGCGGCGGCGGCGGCTCGCGGCGCCAGGGGCACGGCAGCGCGCCCAGCGCGCCCAGCGCCGGCACCACGTACTGCGCCGGCAGCGCGCAGCGGCACAGCGCCGACACGCACGCGTCGCGACCCTTCGCGTGCCCCGTCTGTGTCACCGTTCACACAAACCTCACTCATTTATGTCTAACGTCTTTCGCTTCCTACAATCTATGTAGAGTGATCGCATGAAAAGGGACGGAACTATGTAACGGGGAGTCGGAGAAGCGCACTATTTGATTTGACAAATGAGCGTGCGGTACTAGATGTCAGCTGTTACAAATAATATTTTAAAAATAATAATATTTCGGCCATCTGACACACACGCCATCAAGTTTCAAAATAAGCAGAGCTTGTACTAAGAAAGCTGCATCGACTGATAGAATACTTTTTTTTTCTTATAAATACATACATAATATACATATAAAACACCCAAACTTCAAAACTAATCTTTGCAGATCATACAAACATTTGGTCCGACCCGGGAATCGAACCCGAGACCTCAGCACAGCAGGTGCACACGCTACCACTGTACCACTGAGTTATATAAATAGTTATGCAAGTCAGTAAGGCAAGCTTCTTTTTATTGTACCGGTCAAAATGTTTATTTTTTATTATGGTTTCATTTTCATTAAATGTACATACATACCTATGACACACAGTTTGTATATACATTAAACAAAAATTGGTCACCATTGTCATATAAGCTATGTAATATGACCATCGAAATTAAACTAAACGTGATACTTAAATCTTTCCAATTACTAGCTTTAGAGAAACTTAGTAATAATAATTTATTTTTAGTTTATTTTTTTTTAAAAACGACTCCCGCATTAGGAATATATATATATATATCCTGTGTCGCGGGGGACTTTACAAACATACATGAAACAGACACAAAGAACACCCAGACTCAGAACTACAATTTGTGAATCACACAAAGTGTCGTCCCATGTGGGGTTTGAACCCACAACACTCGGCGTAGTAGGAAGCGGTGTGGCGACCGTTTAAACCACTCCGCCATCCGTGCAGTATAATAATAATATATCTCGCACATCACACACACGGCCGTCAGATCTCAAACTAGGCAGAGCCTGTACTATGGTAACCAGACTGCTCATAAACATACTTATATTCTTAAATACATACATATTATAGATAAATTACACCCAGACACAACAAATGACCGTTCTCATCACACAATATTTGTCCTGGGTGGAAATCGAACTCACGACCTCCCATTTAAAAGTCAGGGTCACTAACCACTAGACCAACAGGCCCGTCAAATATGGTTAGAATTTTAGTCTGACCGGTTTGGACTATAAGTTCTCTGTCAAAATCAATATACAACACAATAATAAAACTCTAGAACTTACCTTCCCACTAACTCTGGCAAGTGTCTGTATTGCTCGTAGTATACTCTCTAGTTCTCCAATACTCGCTTCAGCCAATACTGATAGACCCCATACTAGTCCACACCATGATGATTTAAGAAGCTATAAATAATAATAATAATTTAATTTTTCTCTCTCACACAGAATTACATATCTTGAAATCTTAAACTAGATACACAGTTAGAAGTGAGTTGAATCTGTGTGAGAGACTGGTATCTTTTTTCTTTCTTTTCTTTCTTTTTTAAAAAGACAACGCCCGCATTAGGAATATATATTCCTGTGTCGCGGGGGACTTTACAAACATACATGAAACGGACACAAAGAACACCCAGACTCAGAACAACAATTTGTGGATCACACAAAGTGTTGTCCCATGTGGGGGTTTGAACCCACAACACTCGGCGTAGTAGGAAGCGGCGTGGCGACCACTTAAACCACTACGCCATCCGTGCAGTCAACTGTACAACTGTACTTGGTAGACCTGTATTAAAGATTACTAGTCTAAAGTAGAAATCAGAACTAAGTTAGTTAATGAATACAGAGTGTCACCACCCCGATTCATCCAATCATCACCAAAACCTCCTTTCTGAGGAGAGGCCTATGTCCAGCAGTGGACTAGTAAAGGCTGTTGATGATGTAGAAGAACGGCACGATGTGTAAGAAGGACCTTCGGACCAAGCGAAGTAATCATACCTGATGGACTGCGACCCAATAATTGCAGTTGGGAAGTTATGTACATACTGACTGACTGAAGTTATTATTATTATTAATCGGCGGATAACTTTTATTGCGCGATGCAGAATCAGCAGTTACTCCTAGCTTGATGAGTCGTCGGTAGATGGTATTAAAGTATGTCTTTCGTTGTATGGGGACGTCGCTACAAGTATTAACCGTTACAGTTATTTTTATGTTCATCATCAACAGCCTTTAATAGTCCACTGCTGGACATAGGCTTCTCTTTAGAAAAGAGGATATAGGATATTTTTATGTATGAGTTGAATTTAAATAAAAATTACATTTAATTGGACAATTATAAAAAGGGTTGACAAACCTGCAATCTCAGCTCTTTCTCTTTCTCTTGTACCTCATCCTCTATCTTTTGCACCACATTTGAGTTCTGATCAGCTTCGCCGTTCTGAGCATTGTTGGTTACTACTGTGTCTGGTTTTGTTTCCACTTCTAATAAAGAGAGGTTAGGTTTAAAAATAATCTAATTACTATGTTCTGGAGGTATGAATAGAGTCTAACTTAAAGGATGGACTAAATGTTTAAGATTGGTGTAATATAGTTATAATTATTATTTTTAATTGCGTAGGTGGCAAAAAAGCAAACGAGTTACATGATGGCAAGTGACTACTTGGAACTCAAGGGATACAAGTTGCCGTCCTTTAGTTTCCCTTCCCCCCAGAATTAAGGGAAGACCAATGCCAATCATATTACCAGAGGTCTTGGTAATATTTTCTTAAAAAGACAACTCACGCACTAGAGATATATTGCGGGGGCTTCACAAACATCCATGGAACGAGCACAAAGTACACTAAGGCTCAGAACAAGAATTTCTGGATCAGAAAGTATTGTTCCATGTGGGGATCGAACTCACAACACTCAGCGCAGAAGAGTGTGGCGAGGTGACCTCTTAAACCACTACGCCATCCGTGCATATTATTAATAATAATAATAAACATTTCTTTCACACAGATAAAAGTTTTTTATGCTACTTTACAAAAACGCTACAATAACAGGTAACTTTATAAGAGACTGGTGCCTGAAGTAGATTAAAAAAAACCTGTAATTAGAGGTAACCACACACACTTGGTGAAAATCTATGAAATATTTTTTTACCTTCGGTCTTCTGTGTGGTCAAGCCGGCCGAAGCATGACTCTCTCACGACAAAACTATTTAACCTTAATATAATGATAGCATACCTTTACCATTGGTGTTTTTGTTTGAATTGACTTCTCTTTCTTCTGTATCGTTCTGTATGTCTTCATACATTTCTTGCAGTCTAAAGAACAAACAACAATGTTATTTTTTGTATACCGTTTAGTCGAAATACCCCAAATTTCCAACAGAAAGTCATCATCATCAACAACCTTTAATAGTCCACTGCTGGACATAGGCCTCTCCTTAGGAAGGAGGTTTTGGCCTACTATACCACGCTGGCCAGACGGGTTGGTATAGGGTTTGTTTCAAGTTTTCCTTCTCTCTGCAGTGCTGTTGTCCTGCGTATTTTGCTCCCTTAGTCGCCTCTTACGACACCCACGGGATGAATAGGGGCGGTGACATTCTGTATTCTTAATCCGTCACCACACGGACAACAGAAAGTACTACAAAATAATTATAATAATAATGATCTCATCACCATTTGAATAGTACGGTTATGTGATAACAAAATTTATCCTTGTTTTCTTGCCAGGTTAAAAGCACCACACCAAAACCACCAAAGATATACGGCTTCGGTGGTTTTGTTAACTAGTTCACACTGTAAAGTATATGTTTAATAATGCTGTGCCGGATATCCGTATCTGTATCCTTGGATAACCGTGGATGATACGGCTCTAAAACATTACTCTTAGCATTGAAATTTTCGACTTAATTAACTAATCGAACTTTCTCAACAAAAAGTAGGCTGTTTTTCATGATATAGGGGTACAGGGGCACCTGATGGAAGGTGATCACCGTTCATAAACTGCAACTCATTAGTCACAAGTACGTTGCCGGCCTTTAACCAAGGAGTAAGCTCTTTTGTTGAAGGTCGTATCGGTCAGGGAATACCGGCGACAATAAAGTCTTACTAAGTCAAGCAGGAATGTGGATAGGAGATATACTTCGACACGTGTTTCGCCTCCACACAACAACAATACAAAAAAGAAAAGTTATCAACTTTTGTTTTTCATATTTACCTGAAGTATTCAGCACCTTCTACGCTGATGGCTATGGACCTGATAATTTCCATGAGACAGGCGTACGCTACGGAGATGCCGTATCCGTCCTGTATCGTTGGCGCTTCCGTGCGGTCCAGCATCTCTATACTTTTATAAGAAATTTTAAAAATAATAAGTTGAAAGTTCATCCTATTATCACGACAGTGGATCTATCTATCATTATACATTGTCAGAAAGAATGTTACCTACTCATATAAGGGGTTCAATTAATAAATAAAAATAAGTATTGTCAAAAAGATAGCAGGACAAAGAGGGCAGTTACAGATAATGTTCTCAACAGAATGGTTAGGTGATTTTCTCTTTTTTTCTGAGCGATTCAACCGACTTTACCGTACCGTATTCCTAGAAGAATATATCAAGTGAAAACAAAGAGTAGGCTTAGCACTAAAAAAAATGTGCAGGCAACTTTTATATGGACGAAAAACCAAAAAATTAAATCACCGAAGGTTGTTGGTTCTTTTTGGGCAGAAAGTAAATAATAATTGAAAATACATAAGCGGTCAGTCCTAGTAATACATTTGTATGTACACATTAGACAGCTCCGGTAGAAAACTAAATATTTTCTTGCATATCTAATCTTTTACATGAATACTTACTATACAGATTTAGCAGTTCCTGGCTCAAATGTGACGCAGAGCGGTAACCATACCCCCTTCCAGTAAAACCCAGACTGCTGAGGAATACCAGCTGAACCTGCAAGTAAAAACGACTCTGTTAAAAGGAGTAAAGTATTAAAATAGTTCGCAAGGCTTCTTTCTTTTGAGGCGTGGCGCCGGACATCACTGAAGGTCGCTGCTTTTTGTTAAAGGACTTTTGTAGAACCCGAAAATAGGGTTTGTAGATAGGTGGCGCCAGGTAAAAAGATTTTTGGTGGTGTAAATTTTAGAAGAGTTCATCTAGCTCCTCTCTACACAACACCAAGGCATCTAAGCTAGAAAAAAATCTGATCCCGAGGAATGGAATAATTATTTTTAGCAGAAGCTAGTGAGCTTTCTTTTCAATTCCCTTGAGACCTATCCTTATTATATACATTATATCCTTTTTATCATTAAAATGGCTCGTTCCAAATATAATAAAATTGCTTGTAAACTCGTTTCTTATCCTTTTACGTCTTAACGTTTTAAAAGATGATCATAAAATTTTAAAATAAAAACACATTAATATTAAAAAGGACATAAAGACCTAATATCAAGAAAAAAGTCTGTCTGTCTTTCAATACACGTCTGCCAATGTATAGTAGGTATAGAGGTATTGGCTAGATCAACGACCCGAAGCATGACACTACCCCCAGCGGGACATTTGGGTAGGCCGTGGAAACACTCAAAACTAAACTAAACGATACTAAAATATGAATTAACATTACAAGCCTACACTATACTACATTTACATACTTACACAAAAAAAAACTATACAATTCAAATTAAACGAAAAATAAACAAATTAAAACAAAAAAAATACGAAATACACCAAAAAAATTATAATTAAATGTCCATCACTTTCAAACTTAACAACAAAGATGTCTCCGTAAATGTGGGAGTGAGCAGCATCAATCCCAAGCAAATTTATGGTCTAAATAATCTGTAATAGTGTAGTAAGCCTTTTCACACAGTTTTAGCTTTACTAAAGACTTAAATTTGTTAATACTTAATTCATGGAATTTGCTTGGCACTTTATTGTAAAATCGCACACCCTTTTTGTAGTCTAGTGGTTGGTAACAAGAGTTTATCTTAATTTCTAGTATTTGTTTTATGAATGTTGCTAAACTTTGTGAATAAATGATTATTTTTCTTTACATACACTAAATTTTCATATATGTATTGAGATGCGACTGTCATGATACCAATTTCATTAAACTTATCCCTCAGTGACTGCCTATAACTGAGATTATAAATTGCACGAATAGCTCCTTTTTGCACAAACAACACAAAGATACTCGTACTTTGAATGTCATCAGCATTTCCCCACAAAAAAATACCGTATGACATTACACTATGTCTATGTTTCAAAATGTCATATTAAATATGTACTTGTAATCTATTTGGTCAAGTCTGTCACATAACTGTTGAACTAACCATGAATAAAATGTACCAGGCGTTAATAGTAAAATTTATTTTATTTATAACTTTACTGGCGTGCAGTTGTTTAACACTTGAAAATGATGGTAAATTTGCTGCATATAGTAAATTAATATAGTAAGAATATGAATACAGTCCGTTTACTGACGGATTAAGAATAAAGAGTCTCACAACCTCTATTCAACCCGTTAGGTGTCGTAGGAGTTGTCTCAAGGAGTAAACTCTGCAGGCAAATAGCACTGCAAAAAGAACGAAAACTTAAACCAAGCCCTATACCGACCCGTCTAGGCAGCGTGGTATAGTAGGCCAAAACCTTTATAGTAGGCCAAAACCTTCTTTCTAAGGAGAGGCATATGTCCAGCAACGGACTATTATCGGCTGATAGTAGGAAATAAATATTTAATTTACAGATGAATTCGAGCAAGAACCTAAAGTAACTCGTCAGTTCAAGATGCGATGCACTCGGCGGTACTCGCCGGGGATCTGTGCAAACCACTTGGTACCCGTATGGACTTACGTGTTTCATGAACAGAACTGCACGTAAGCTGATGAGTTGGATATTTTACTATGAATATAATGATAATAAACGTAATAGTAAAATAATTAGCTTAATAATTAGCTAATTAGATCTAAGTGGCGTGCAATGGGAGAGGCCCATGTCCAGCAGTGGACTGCGATAGGCTGATGATGATGATGATGATGATACTTTTGGCTAGTGTAGCAATGTTAACATATCAACAAGCTTGTTTTTCGTCCAAAATTAAATGTAATAAATATTAAAATAACTAGATATATGTAGTCATTTTTATAGGCTATAACGGAACGTTCAAGTTATTTATCAACACTTGTCATGTTGAAATGTCAAACGATGTTTTTATTTTTATATTACTAGAATAATATTATACTTTTAACATAAACCAAAAGGTTGTGGTGATTTTAATTTAATCAAGTATTGTGTGCGTAAAATGTGAATTTTGGTGAATTTCATATCAATTAAGGTAAATGAAAGTGAAATTGATTATAGTATGCCAAGTAATCCCTTCGTAAATAAAGTAAAGTAAATCTTTCGTAATTATTCAAAAATAAATCATCGTAAAACACATTCATTTCCCCTAAATGCCCTAGAAATCACCGCTTGAGACTAGTTTCAGCTTGTCTCACGTAAACAAAGATCACAGCTGTCAAAATCTATACCTGAGTAATGATTTCGACATAAACATCGTTCTAAAATAAGCTATCACTCACTTGAGTATGGAGTGTCGAATGTCGTTTTAAGTGACGTTCAATAATAAAATCTCTACGTAAAATTAGTTTTAAGACTAGATTCACGACTGAGACAACTTTTAAAATACGGGCCTCAGAGTTCAACCGATACTTGAGACGTCTTATAAAATACGGGCTTTAATGATTGAATTAAGTTTCAGTATCATTTCTGATCGTTTACTTCGGATCTTCAGGGCCTAATGCGTGTTTCAATAATGTCAACTCGATAGACGACGGCAACCGTGTTGCAATATCTAACAATTAAACTTTGAGCCGCAGTCACCGATACTAATCTTCTAGCCGGGTCGGAGAATTCTGCCTTAGCATTGGACGAACATACCATCCAGTAATCTGTACCGTAATAAACACAGTCCTTGAACTTTCAGAGAACGACTCGGCTGCGGCAACCACTTTCAAGCCAATCGTTTCAAGACCTTTGAAATCTGTATGAAACAGTGCCAACGACTTGCTGAGGTCTACCTCAAGATGTTAGAAGTACAAGACTATCAACTATACAACTATAGTGAACCGTTACGGAAAGGAGAAGCGGAAAAAGAAAGTAAGCGGAATTCAATTCAACCATCTCTGTAATGCGACGGTAGTGCATTTGCTGCAATGTCAGATCTTACGTTCTGATCCCTCAGCTGCAAATAAGCATACCACCTACTTAATTATTACGGTTCATTATTTGGTGTAAAATAAGTTGTGACGTCTTAAGACTTTACCGCACAGTAGCTCACACCGAACTGTCTAGCCGGTTCGCTCTAGAAGTATTTACAGCGCCCCGAAGGCGGCGTGCAGATGTTATATCAGGGCGATGGCCTCTTCATCATCATCATCATCAACAGCCTTTACAAGTCCACTGCTGGACATAGGCCTCTCCTTAGGAAGGAGGTTTTGGCCTACTATACCACGCTGGCCAGACGGGTTGGTATAGGGTTTGTTTCAAGTTTTCCTTCTCTCTGCAGTGCTTTTGTCCTGCGTAGTTTGCTTCCTTAGTCACCTCTTACGACACCCACGGGATGAATAGGGGTGGTGACACTCTGTATTCTTAATCCGTCACCACACGGACCTCCTCCTCTTGCCAGCGATGTATTCCGCTACCCCGAGATAGGGATAAGTCGTGGGGGTGTTGTTCGTTACGACGTCCCTTACACCCTGTATAATTTTGTTTGTCAGCAGTTTGGTTACCATACCACAGGCTCTGCCTAGTTTGGAACCAGACGGCCGTGTGTGAGATATATAAAATATATTATTATTAATTATTGAAATTTTTGTTACAAATTAAAAGGAAGCAATGTAACTGCTATCGAAAGTGAGGAACAAGAGGACGACCACCCGCCTAAAGCAGAGGGAGAAGAGCTGGCGTACGACGAATACGAGCAAGGAGATAATGAGACCCATTCGATTATATACAAGGAATTGTTCGACAACGAAGACATATTTCCACCTGACGTAGACCGTATAGATGGAGAGATCAGGTCGCAATATGATTTGTTACATCCCTGAATTGAGATTCTAGTAATATACTCTTTTTTTGTTGTAGTAGGGCAAACATAGAGATTAAGCATAGAGAGAACACCGGGTACAGCTGTAAGTGGACTCGATACATGCAACGAGAGAGAGATGGATGCCCAATAGTTTCCTCTGTCTCTGTTTAGCTAAGCTGCGAAGCCAACCACAGAGCTCGACTAGAAAGAGATGGAGGCATCTTTCTTTTGATTCCATATCTCTCGTTGCCAATATTGCAAGATTGAAGAAGGGGGAGGGGCTGTTAAATTCACTCGATCACTCGGTGTATTTACTGATTCTGTGCAAAACACTAAAATACCCTCAGATTTAGCGGTGTTTAATTCACTATGGGTAAAAACACTGAAATAATTGATAATTTGTGATGGGTTGGTATCCCTACGGTTGTGCCGTGAGTCGTCACTCATGTACCGCAGTGTGTCTCTTTTTATGTACTCTACATATCAAGTAACAATAAAAGCTTTAAAGTATTTTGTGTTTGTTTTTTGGTGCTAATCTCGAAAACTATCAGTCAAATTTCAATAGTTCTTTTTGTAGTGGAAAGAGTATTTATTGAGGTAAGCTTTAGGCTATGTACCTAACTCTACGACCCTAAGGGGCCAATAAACGCTGGAGAACTAACGGCGAACGGTTAGTAAATTTAGAATTGGTAGTGTTTTTCTATTGGACCATTTGTGATTTTATTTTTCAAATCAAATATGTTATTTTATGATTTTATTAAGTTCAATAAAATCTACAGCTCAGTAAAGATTATGTTTAATAAGCGGAAATAACTGGCAACACTTATTTTTATTGGGCGTGGCTTAATGACGTCACTTGCCGCTTGGAGTGAGGGAAGGATTGGAGAGGTGGGTCGTGCGAACGCGATCAGGGCTCTCTTACGGCGACACCAGAGCTAGACGGACGTGTTGGGACTGCGTATTGTCAACATTTGTTGCTTGACTTGATTATTGTTAAGTGGGTGTTATTAAATTGTGTACAAGCATACATTCTCTTTTTTTTTTAGTATTTCGAAATAGATTTATAACTGTATTATTATCAATGAAACTGTTCATAATAAATATTAAAGACCTTGATTAAATATCTGTATTTATCTTAACATACGTAAGAAAATTTAATTAATAGAACAAAACGGCGATGGTTGGCGCTCCCTGGCCTTCGATCAGCAGTGGACGGCAATAGGCTGATGATGAATACAAAAACCGTCAACATTGCTAATTTAAAAAGAAAATAATACCTTGTTCAGAAATATAAAATTACAAGAGGACTAAAAAAAGCGAGTTTCGGTTTCCTGTTACACACTTCCGTCCCTCTTCACGGCTACACTTCCACAGATTGTAGGAAAATGATAGAAACAATGTTACATATTAAAAGTAACACCATTAGTTAGTCTAGCGGTTAGTGAACTTGACTGCTAAGACGGAGATTGTGGGTTCGATTCCCACTCAGGACAAATAATTGTGTGATGAGCACGATTATTTGTTTTGTGTCTGGTAACTTATCTATAACTATGTATTTATAAATATATAAGTAAGTTTATCAGCAGTCTGTTTGCCATAACAAGGCTCTGCCTATTTGGGATCAGACGGTCGTATGTGAGATGTGTGAAGTTATTATTATTATTACTGTATCTACATTAACACGAGCGAGGCTGCGAGTTAACACAAGTCTTAAAAAAAAACAAACTTACCAGACGGAGTATTCACATTAGAGGCGACGAACAAACTCTGTACATAGGCGCCGAGAGCGTTCACTATGTCCTGGAAAATGTTTGTGGCGTGAGGCTTCATGTCGTAACACTCGCAGAAGGCTTTTAACAGATCTGTGGACAGAGGGGAACAATATAAATACTTATAAACTCTTACGTAGAGCAGAGGTGGAGTTAATTTAATTCGAGTGTATATTTAGACACGCTTACATTTATATACGGAGTGTTTGGAAAACGGACCCGAAAACGAAGATAATCGATAATGATGATGATGATTAATGATGACCTTCGATGATGGGTCAGAACAAAAAGCATTCAAGCTCCAAGATGTTAGTACAACTAAATAAAACGATAACATGTTAACGATAACAACATATTACAAAAGAAACGAGAATATAAAATAGATTACAAATAGTATTGATTCAAATAGTTTATTATTATTGAGTATACGTCTCTTGACGGTCCGTGTGGTGATGGATTAAGAATACGGTGTGTCACCACCCCTATTCATAAAGCCGTAACAGCCGACTAAGGGAGCAAACTACGCAGGACAACGGCACTGCAAAGAGAAGGAAAACTTGAAACAAACCCAATACCAACCCGTCTGTCCAGCATGGTATAGTAGGCCAATACCTCCTTTCTAAGGAGAGGCCTATGACCAGCAGTGCACTACCACAGGCTATTGATGTGATACGTCTCTTTAGTTTTTTTGTTTAGATTGTTATTAATTTAAAAATTTTACACTATTATATTACAGTAAATGCTATGTACACCGTAATTGTCATACATATCAGGTATTCTGCAACATATTGTCAAAATTATTTATAAGTATATAATATGTATAATGTTGTAGTACCTATTAATAAATAAAGGCTATGAAATAGAAAACGAAATGATAATATGATTTTTATTTTTAGTTTTTTTTTGAGCAATCATCAAAGGTATCTTTAGTTGCCTTCGTTTTCGTAATAGTGAATATCAGTAAGAATTAATAATAATTGTGATTTATTTAAATAAAATGTCTATTACGTGTAAAAACTGGTGAATTCATCTAACAACGAACCCCGGCTCGTAAAAGACTGTAACATTCGCATTCTAGAATTCATCGCATTCTAGGCTTAGCTTTTTTTTTTTATTACTAGACACTCCCGCATTAGGAATATATCCTTTGTCGCGGGGGAATTTACAAACATACATGAAACAGACACAAAGAACACCCAGACTCAAAAAAACAATTTGTGGATTACACAAAGTGTCGTTCCATGTGGGATTTAAAAACCACAACACTCGGCTTAGTAGGAAGCGGCGTGACGAAATCCGTGCAGTCTGGGTATTGGAAGCATTTCCAAAAGATTATTATAATTTGTAGTAACACTTACTGGGTTGGATAGTCATTTTGTGTAATACTTCTAAAGCTAACGCTCTTTGCCACATCGGTTTATCTGGGTCGAGGAACTTTATCGTCAATGACAGGAAGATCTCGCATTCTGTTATCTGAAAATAAACCTAAATGTCAGATTGTCGCATACTTATTACATTTACATAGTAGTCGACCATTGCGTGGCATGAATACATTTCTTAGTTATGTTGAGCATCCATAGTAAAACGTTTGGATATAACAAATTAAGTATATAAATATTGATGCACACTCATACAAACACACATACGCACGCATATTCACAGTCATTGTTTGGTTTACTTTGTTTCATTTTATTGTAAAATAATTGTATTTCATTGTTTAGTACAATCAAAATATTTGTTTGTTAATTAAAAAATAAATTAATATATTTGAGGAAATAAACATTTTTGTAGACGTTTATTAAACTAGAATAGAATTTGGATATAATAAAAAAAAATAGAGAGTAAAATAAGTTTCACACTTGTGCGTGTGTTCATTCTTCCTTTCCCACTCAATCTGTTCTTCTCTGGAATGCTCCTCCCAGGACATCAGAATGGCAACCAGTCGTAATTCGTTCAAGTTCGTGCATTCATTTCCACACCACCCTACGGTAGACTGGTAGAAAATGCCTATGGCATCAATTCCGCCATTGTACATTTTGTGCATTAAGTTATTAAATAAATAAATAATATAAGCTTCGGGTAGTTACCAATATGCTGTGGTACTTGTGCACGATGACGGAGACGAGCCGGAGCAGGCGCATGGTGACGGGGAAGTGCGGGCGCTCCGCCACGGGCGGCGTGGCCGTGCTGCCCGCGCCCGGGATGTGCAGCGCCGTGAACGCCGCCCTGACCATACATTAACACCTTCACTTGGAACTCGACTATAGCACATTCGCGTTAACAAAATAGTGACGCATCCTTAAAGCCCCGCCCCCTCACCAATCAGGTCCCAAGAAATTATTCTTTCGAGCGAAAGTTTGGAACCTGATTGGTCAGAGGGCAGGCTCGATCGATATGTCCCTATTTTCTTAAAGTGAATGAACTATGTCTATAGTTTATAAGGTCAACTCATTTGAGGCATAAATGTGAATAAAACAAAAACCTTATTTGTGAGAATTATTTAGTAATGTCAACAGACGCTGACTATAACCATTTGGAAATAACACTAGGTTATAATTTATTTTAATTCTAAATCATTGATTATATTTTAACTTATAGTCTAATGATAAATGTAATTTTTAGACTTAAAAAGAACTTCAAAGGGACAAACAGTAACACAGTGTGTTAAAATACCAACCTACCAGGCCGTAGGTAGAAACCTCCTTTCTAAGGATAGGCCTAAGTCCAGCAGTGGACTATTAAAAGCTGTTGATGTGATGTAATGAGTTTATTATCACATACCTGTATTTAACATTCGGTGAGAATAATCTTATTATAAGAGCGCAGACATGCTCTTTCAACAGGAATCTGAACTCTGGTATCTGAAACAATCGTTTTATACTATTATAGTGGCAAACAAGTAACTGTTTGTTTGTGAATCCTTTTAGTACAGTGCCATGATTTATTCAAGCAAACGCTATACGCGGGGTTAGAAGGTCTGGGTTAGGATTTTCGCGATTGGACTTGAAATTATCCCTTTTAGGGATTTAGAGATCAAAAGTAGAATTGGCCTTTTAGTTCCTGAAAATCCCTTCGAATTTTCAGCTCCTTGGTGACATGGAGCTGAAAATTCGAAGGGATTTTCCACCCCTTTACCAAAAAAAGGCCATAGAAGATGCGATGAATTGGTAGCGGGTTTGAACCCAACCAAGTACACGACCGACATGAATCCACTGCATTTGGTGCACTCCGTGAAAATTATTCTGCACGTGTGGAAAAACTGCTACATGAGTTACTTACTTTAAAGTATACAGGTGAGAAGTCAGTGAGAACCGTGTCGAGGAGTTCGAGTCCGAAGGTCTTCGGCACGTCTGATATACCAACCAACCAGTGAGCCGAGTCGCCGTTGATCAGCTGGATAATGTCCTTGGAAAGAGAAGAGGTAGATTTACAGGCTGTTACAAATTGAAATTCCAACTATTTATTATATTATTAGAATATAGTTACCTGTAATATTAAGTAAGCGTCGACTGCACATGGTTTTAGGTCCTTTGGAGCTTTATTGTTCGTCTGTGGTCTGATATCAGCAGGATTTACTTTCAATACACCTATAAGACATAAGATTTTTTAGATTGTTGTAAGTATTCTAAGTTTAGATTATTATTATTACTTGGATGACAAATATATTTTGTGGAGTTGGTAGGTAACAATATTACTACTCAGAACAAAATGGTGGTAGGTAAAAACACAACTACATACACAGACACATTAATTTGGTAAATTAACAACTGGCCTTCTGGTCTAGTGGTTAGTGACTCTGACTGCTGCGCCAGAAGTCGTGGGTTGGATTCCCACCCAGGACAAATAATTTTGTGATGAGCACGGTCATTTGTTCTGTGTCTGGGTGTACTTTATCTATAATAAGTCTGTATTTAGAAATACATAAGTATGTTTATCAGCAGTCTGGTTACCATAGTACAGGCTCTGCCTAGTTTGGGATCAGACAGCCGTGTGTGAAACGTGTGAAAAATATTATTATTATATTATAACAATACATAAACAGTGAGCTGTCCATGTAAGTCAAGTTGTGCAAAGGACGGGTGTGGGGGTCAATAAACCATGAAATTCGTATGACGTACTTTATGGCTGGCCCCTAATGCCTATCAATTGCGTGTAAATCCCGTTCGTTATTAATAATTACATATCATGGAACACGAAAGAGTAAAAGTTTGTGTTTCTTATACTCCAAGACTTACCATCAGCTTCAGCGAGAGCTCTCTCAAACACCAAAGCTACTAGTTGTCGAACTGTGGCAGCGGCAGCGTGGCTGGTGCTTACGTCACGATTCTCTGATGGTGACACCATTCGCATACACATGACCATTGTCTGTAAACCAAATAAGTGATGACTATCAAAGGATCGTCAAGGTGGAACTTGGACAGTCTCTGGTATTGAATTCGGAAGAACATTTGATGAAGTAATACACAGACAGAATTTATTCATGAAATATTTTTGAAGTAAACTTCTTTACGCACGCTTGACTTAAGGAGTAAGCGTGACGAGAGCGTTACGAAAAGTGTGATCGGGCGAGGCGAACGGAAATTGAGAAAGAGATATAAGTTAGTGAAGACAGAAATAGAGAGTTACTTTTTGTATATTACTGTAGGCGCAAGAGAGAGAGATGCAAGCGCACATTTTCTTTCTCTCATTTCTTTAAAGAAGTTTTACTTCAGTCGTATAGTCGCACACTCGTTTTTTAGGGTTCCGTACCGAAAGGGTAAAACGGGACCCTATTACTAAGACGCCGCTGTCATGACAGACAGTCCAGAAGACGTGCTATTTTTTAATCATACTCATATGAGTATGATTTAAAAAAAAACAATTCTTGCCATATCATATGATGAAATGATTGCTTTGAGGACTGCGATTTTATTTACGAAAAATAACTACTGTCATTTTTTTCTTGATTTGATTATAGACAAAGATAAATGCCATTAAAACTTAAGCAAAAAAAAAAGCAAATATACATATTTTTATTTAGACGTTTCGCGAGTACGGTTCTAGCGTAATCATGATCATAACTTAGTGATTACGTAAATTAGTAGCAACTGTGATTATATGACTTAAATAATATGAATTATCACAGGTGATTATAATTTAATTCCATCCCTACACAGGAGTATATACCTATATCTTTATAAAATAAGTTGATATCGATAAATTGTATAAAAAGAGTATTTACCCTATATATTCTCTCGCTCTCGTATCTATTCAACATCTTGATTTGTTTTGACAAATTTAGATTGTACCTACTATTCTGATATAAAACCAATTTAGATTACACTTTTACATTATAGATTCAAAGTGTTTACACCAATTTTTATTAACAAAAAAAAAATTAAACTTATTCTGCTAGCGTTTATACGCTTCTAAATTACGTTAATATCTAAATTACTTTTAAAAGTATTATCAACCGCGATAATTACTTCGAAATAGAAACAATATTAGATTTTAAGACCCTACATCTCAACAGACATTATTTCACAACATTAGTAAGCACGATTTAAAATTAATTTTCTAAAACTGACAGATCACTTGACAAGATAAATCATTGTTGTATTTAAATTATAAAGACAACCCACTTTTACAGTTCAACTTCCACACTGGGTTACTTTACTAGACATTTGTCAAATAGAGTAGAGTACTTGTATCATACTAAAAATTTTTACAACACACAATCTACGAATATTATCTACAAACAAATGTTTTACATGGTACAGCACTTCGAAACATAAAGCTATCTAACAAGATAGCTTTATGTTTCCACTTCCTGTTCCTGAATGAAACGGTGCTATAATTTTAGGCAAAATACACAGTAGAGAAAAATATAATTTGACACTAATGACTGCACGGATGGCGTAGTGGTTTAAGCGGTCGCCACGCCGCTTCCTACTACGCTGAGTGTTGTGGGTTCGATCCCCACATGGGACGACATTTGGTATGATCCAAAAATTGTTGTTCTGAGTCTGGGTGTTCTTTGTGTCCATCTCATGTATGTTTGTAAAGTCCCCCGCGACACAGGATATATTCCTTAGTTGTCTTATAAAATTAAATAATAATTGGTTGAGTATGAGTCGGTTATTTTTCTTTTTATAAGTATGCTACTCCTACAGATTGTAGGAAAGCAAGAGCTTTTCTACAATCTGTACGAGTGACTAACAAAGGGCGAAGGGACGGAAGTGTGTTGCAGGAAGCTTGGGAAGCGCGCTCTATTTGATTTGCGCGGTCCCAGAGTTGGCCGATGTCAGATGTTACACATCGTATGCAGCCATGCGTTTTCATTTATACTAAATATATGTAATTAACATACGTTGTTTTTTTAACAAAGAGTATTAGTACGTGAGTGACATATTACTAGTATTTTTAGTAACACCTCCAACTTTTTTTACTCTTTGAGTGGGTTCATATAAGAAATTACAAAATTCCAATTAGCAACAAAAAACTGACCTTATGTGAAAATACATCAATATATCAACATCATCAACAGCCTTTAGTGTCCACTGCTTGACATAGACCTCTCCTTAGAAAGGAGGTTTTGGTCTGCTATACCATGCTGGCCAGACAGGTTGGTACAGGTTTTTTTTCAAGTTTAACTTCTCTTTGCAGTGCTCTTATGCTGCGTAGTTTACTCCCTTATTAGGCTCTTACGACACCCACGGTATGAATAGGGGTAGTGACACTCCGTCTACTTAATCCATCACCACACAGAGGAGATAATACAGCTATACTAAAGTTATATTTGTATTATCACTTACCCTAGCTAAAGTGTCTCCATGCACCAAATCAGATGTAGTCATCAACAGTGCAGCGGTCTGTAGAAGCTTCAACTCCAGTACTCCACCCTGCCCCAGGTTATACAGGCAGTCTACCACATGTCTAGCTCCTTTGGCGTCTATACCTTGCTGTGCAATTAGACGTTGAATTGTTCCTAAGCAGAACTGAAAGTGAATTATTTTCTATGTATTAATGACTGAGATCCACATGGGTTTTAAGAATAGGAAGAACTTATTTAACGACCAGCGATCCGCCCCACCTTCGTACGGGTGCAATGTAGATACTACTAACGTGGTGTCAGTATGGAATAATTATATGTAGACATACGAGTATCCACTACCATCACAGCCTTTTTTGTAGATTTTTGTAAGAATAGTACATTATTTTGTTCTATCTCGTAAGGATTAGCCAGCGTTTGCAATGTAAGCGCGCAAAACCATGCTTTTCACGACAATTCTTTGAAATTCTCGGATTTTCTCTACCCTAATATGCATATAAACCTTCCTCTTGAATCACTCTCTCTATTGGTAAAAACCGCATTAAAATCCGTTGCTTAGTTTAAAAGATCTAAGCGTACAACACAAAAAAGCAACTTTATTTTATACTTTGTCAAGATGTAAGGAATTTTTAGAAAGAAATAAATTATAATAGTCAACACAAAAAAATTACATAGGTACATACACCCAAGACTTAACCATACTCGTAAGTAGAGGCATATTTAATTTATACATTTGGTCCATCATATGTAATTTGGTCCCACGCTCGGACATATTATTCAATTTAAAAAAAACATTACTTATTAATTTTTTTAAGTTAACCTCACACTCATATTTTTGTGTGATATCTTTCACACAGAAATATAATATTCTGGGTTTGAATAGAATATCATGCGAATTGTTATTGAGATTCCCGTCAATAAATTTACATATTTTTAATATTAGCTTGCGGTTTTAAAAATGACGCTTTCCTCCATTTGCTAAATTTCATTAATTATATACGAGTATATATATATTTCAGTGAGATGACGCATGACAGAGTGAAATGGAAAAATCATACATACTGCGCCGACCCCAAATAAAATTGGGAAAAGGGTAGGGTAGATGATAATGATGATGATATATATTTATTATAATTAGTAGTATAAATAAATTATATCACTGTTCTGTATCTTCGTCTGCGCCTTTTTTCCCAAACTAGGTTGGGGTGTGCTACGATACAGCTAAAATTCGATTTTTTGTGTGGAGCAACTGCCGTCAGACTTCCACAACCTAACCTAGGTTGGTTAGGTTGTGGAGGTCGAGTGGATATCGAAATTTTATAAAAAAACTGTTGTCGGGCGTAAATTAAATTTTAGTACTGTATATTACCTTTATAATCTTGAGATCCTTGGATTCACATCCTTGTACCAAAGGATACAAAATCTGATTCACCACTCCATATAGTGAGGCCTGAGGGTTATTGGCAGCCAATGACAACTTTTCAATGGCTTCATCACAGGCCTAAAATCGAGAAAAACACATCAAATTTAAAATATTTACTTTAATAACAAAATAAAATAGGTTTTTAAGGTCATACTGTTATTTGCACTATAACTATGCCTAAAAATGAGTTTTAAAAATATTTGTCTGTCTATCTATATATTTGTTTCAGCTCATCTTAAAAACATATAGGCAGATTTTGATAAGATTTCACTAGCAGGTAGCTGACTAAAAAAAGAGTAACTTAGGGTAATTTTCTAGCCAAAATACATTTAGGAGTTCAAGCAAAAAAATGGATGAAATTAGAGACAAAATCGGATTTTGATGGAATTATTAGCAGGTACAATCTAATTTATAATCGGGTACAGTAACCAGAAAACAGATAAATCTAACTAGACTTTATGGCTATTATCGAAAATATTCATTATTTTGGAAATACGAAATCGGCATTGAAATATTATGATGTATGTTTAGTTACGATTTTGTAAATAAGTTTTGTAAACATAATTTTCACTTAAATTGTAGAACTACCAACTGAGTAAGCTCTAACAAGACTAATTAGTACATAATAATAAAAACCTCTCTTATCTGAGGATATTTCTTCTTCGTCTCCAAACTCAAAGTCTTGAAATCATTTTGAAGGACTTCCATAAATTTCTTCGTGGAGTCATCACCGGTTACAGCGCTTACGAACGCCATTGTTTAATTTATTGATACTTATTCACTTATTCACATCATAATTTACGTAAAAAATTATAGAAATTGAATTTATGCCATGTACACAATCGACATCACAATTTTCAGTTCGGAAACAAATGGCAATAAAGAAGCAATAACATACAATACCTTTAAATATGTATATAAAATTAAATAAATTTTCAAACTAGAATCACAATCTAATGAAATAGGAAAGTCAAGAAATCTAATAAGAGAAGGTAACATCAATTAAGGTATGAGAATAACATTATAAAACTTTTATTGACAATGATGTCATATTTTGAACCTTAAAACATTTCTTGATATTTTAGAACGATTACATTCTGCGTTTCATACCCACGCACATAGCAAACAGCAGGTACCTGAAAGAGTTTCAAACTTACAAATTTTTAATTATGTTTATATAATCTTATAAAATTAATTATTTAATTATTATTATTATTTAATTTTAATTAATTAATTAAGGAAGACTATTATGTCTATTAAACAAATAAATAAAAAAAAAGTGTATCTCTAATTTCTCCCTTTATGCATAGAAAGAAACGGATATGTCACTTTGGTATGACCATAACCAAAAAAAAATTATTATAGTGCAGGAAGTTTTGACGATCATTTTTACATAGCCTAATTGAAGCTAATTGAATTATTTTACATATGTAGTGATTTTATGACATAAAATAATCTCTCAATAAAAGTTGAATAAATTGTCAGTATGTTCGATCACATGGTTCGATGTTTTTTTTAATTTTATTAGATTATTGTTTTACAGCTTTGTTTGATCATTCATATAAAACATCAATTGAAACCATTATTACCATAGATTAGAAGGTGTAACTGTAAATTAATTGTAAACTGCATAATAAAGTGAAAGTGAAAGAAGAAATGCAAGTGATCGATGATGACCCACTTCTTACGGTAATATTTTTTTCTAGTATAGCAACATCGATTACTGATTGTGCAGAAGAAAAAACAATGGTGTGATTCCAGATTTTTATTTGTAAGTATTTATAGAATCCAATATCAATTTAGCTAAAGTAACGTTTCAGTGTCGATAAAAACGTTCACTCGCCCGAAGATGCCGATACCGAGGTATAAAATGCATTATATCTATTAGAAATCAGTTTTTGTGTGCTTGACGTGCTGTCATTTCAGTTTTTTATTCTATTTATTCAGCTTGATTCAGGTATACGCCATTTACTGCATTAGAACGGTCGTTGTCTGCAGATTTTAGCACTATTGGTCATTAAAATCTTTACACTACAAATATAAAATGTATGTATAATCCTGTCTGGCATGTTTAATTGCGAAGTGTCTGTTTCGTGTCACAACTTGTGTAGTTTTTCATACCGGCACCCAGTTTTCGTTATTTCAGTGTCATTTGCATAGTTTTTTTGTCGAGAAATGCGTCATGAAAGCAATCGGTGGGTATACGCCGGACGATTGTCCACTGTCGCAGTTTATACGCGTTTGTGTTCCATCGTCCTGTCGTATCTTTCTGCAATCGTAAAACTGTAAACAATACAGCATGTTCATGTGTTTCACAGTGAAAATAACATCGCCTGTCATCTTAGGTACGTTAGTTTGCTTAATTTGTGATTATAATGTAGATACCTGCATAAAATATGTTGACACATCCATTAGGAATCTACTTTTGTACATGGTCTGGCTATTATTGTGTATGTATGTATACTTATAATAACAGTTGAGTCCATTGACATCACTAGTTTTGCAATGAGTGCAAATCAATTATATTATAATGAACTAACAAATTTTGAGAGCAATTAGCCATAAAAATGATACTGAATCTTTCTAATATTACTATAAGCTCTTTGAGTTTAGTAATTTGATATTGGTGCATACTCATTTTTTTTTTAATTAAATTAGTTATTAGATATGCTATAGGCATAGCTTTCCATTGACATCCATTGAGTTGGGGGTTGATATTTTTATACCTATTAGGACAGATAACAAATAAAATAGGTTAGGTTCAACTTGTGTCAAAGAACCAGATTGATTGACCCTGACTCCACCTGATACGAGTCAGTCCTACCCCTAGAGTGTTTTTTATAGAGCTTCCTCTGCAGCTTTGCTTGTTGTTCACCTTCGATGACATGGCTCATCCGCTTCAGCTTGTCCGATACCCACAATTTGTTACAGTCGGCGGAAACTGCTCTTCCCGCACCTCATCAGACGTTGCAGTCTGAAAATTGAAACAGAAATCCCTCTAAATCAGTCCCCTATTTTTTTCTAATGAAGGGGGTTCCCCTCCTTCCCTAGGGGGCACCCCCACTGGTATGAAAGATAACTCTACCTTGATATGTCTGAAGATTGACAATTCATTCCTAAATTGATACATTGTATTGCATTTGTATTAACATAAAGCCCTATTTAGTAAGTGATAGTAAACTTAGATGACATGTGTAAGATGTGCTGTCCGTTGTCCTTGAGTAAATAATATAATTACCTACATTTTTCTGCAAAACAAAGATTACATTTTTGTTATTCGCTACATAACAGCCTATAAATTCAGATTACGAAGATAACTAATTTGTCACTCATTCATTATCTCAGAGGTTTTATAGTTTCAACTGTTTTTTTATTTATATTATTATTTTTATATACCTACACATTAAGGTGTTAAATGTAAGTGTAAAACAAAGAGCAGCATCATTCTAACTCAAGGCTTGCAAAAAGTATTTACAATTTAGTCATTTATACAACAAAGTAACAGCTGTTTAATTTTTATTAGTAGAATCCATTAATGATATCAGTAGTGGTAAAGTTGAAGCGTTTTTTGGTTGATTCTTTCTTTGTATAAATATGCTCAATCCCTGCAATTACATCTTGCATTTTGGATTGGATTTGTAACAGTGACCATACACATGAGCAAAAATGCAGTAAATGTCTAATTATTGATTGATTATATTGAAATTTGTGAGTTATAACACGAGGTTCACAAAAAAACGGTTTTCTTTTCAACTCACACTTCTCTTTTTTTTTCATGGAAGAGGGGGCAAACGAGCAGATGGGTCACCTGATGGAAAGCGACTTCCGTTGTAGCTCAGGAGTCACGAGCGCATTGCCTGCCTTTTGAGAAAGGAGTACGCTCTTTTCTTGAAAGTTTGGAGGTCATAGTTAGTAGTAGTGTGTAACTGTACCTTTTCACTCTGGAGATGCAGATGTCTATGGGTGGCAGTGTGGTGACAGATTAAAAATACAGAGTGTCACCACCCCCATTCATCCTGTGGGTGTCGTAAGAGCTGACTAAGGGAGTAAACTATTAAGGACAACTGCACTACAAAGAGAATGAAAACTTGAAATAAAGTCTGGCCTGTCTATACATGGTATAGGAGGCCAAAACCTTTCTAAGATAAAGCCTATGTCCAGCAGTGGACTAGTAAAGGGTGTGATGATGATGATGGGCGGCAGTAGCCATCAGGTGACCCTTTTGTTTGTTTGCCCCCTATACCAAAAAAAAAATTATTGCTTTTTTAAATTTTGTTGTAATCCATATATATAAATCATAAACCAGAAATGAATCTTCATGCTCTATCATTGTTAATTTGAAAAATATTTTCCTATCAGATAGTTCATTTAGTGAGGAAGCTAATTAGAATAAGACTTCTTATCTTTTTTTTAATTAGAAATAGAAACTGATAACCAATTAATGTCATAATGACATTGTATGCTGTAGAAAGTTAAGGATTATGTTTATAAAAAAAGATAATTGAATACTTCTGTTTTAATTTCTTAAAATCTGGTAATTAAAACTGTAAGTGTTGATGATATTACCAGCCAAATAAATACAACAATAATCCCTATCATGGGATAAGTACGGTGGTAATACATGTACATACAAAGTCCCATGCCTGCCATTGCCCTTTTAACTGTTATTAAAGATTTGAATGAATTCATCTTCTTTGTGTGGTATAGGTACCAATTATAGGCTTTATGGAGCGAATTTGTTCATGTTTTAATTCATCACATCAGATCAACAGCCTTTACTAGTCCACTGCTGGACATAGGCCTCTCCTTAGAACGGAGGTTTTGGCTTACTATATCACGCTGGCCAGACGGGTTGGTATAGGGTTTGTTTCAAGTTTTCCTTCTCTCTGCAGTGCTGTTGTCCGGCGTTGTTGGCTTCCTTAGTCGCCTTTTACGATACCCACTGGATGAAAAGAGGGTGGTGACACTCTGTATTCTTAATCCGTCACCACACGGACTCCACACAAAGAAGATAAACTAGTAGTAGTTTTAATTACTCTACACAAAATCAGAGATTATCTCCCGACCTTCATTATGTCTTCGCCTTTTTTGGCGACACTATTCCTGGGGATGCGAGTTCTGTTCTTCCTAATTTACGGATTTCTATTGTCTAGTCTGCATATTTTTTTTTGTACTTCCTATTAGGAAATATTCAACGTTAAAATCAATTTTTTTACATCTTTTGGTACAACATTTTTAATTAGTGTCCAGCGTGCGAAAGTAAAGGACTAGTTTCATAAATCAAGAGATCGAGATGTACTGACTTAAAGGTATTGCTGATTTAAATTAAAGGTTTTCATCACGTGAAAAGAAGTAAACGGGACGAATGACAAAAGTACAAATCATCAATGTTACTTTCACTCAGTAGTGTAATAAACATTGCCAATATTTTGAAAAAAAAGGGTATGTTTGTAGATTTTTAATAACTACGGAAGAAACTAGTGAATTATGTAAGGATGGAAGCGATTAGCGGCGGTCACACACAATCCACATTTTCAGATAGTTAAAGTTTAACTCCTTCCGGAGTACTTGTCGAAGGAGGGTGTTTATAAACTCAAATAGAATCGTGTATGGATGAGAAAACCAGAAGTAGGCACTTTCCGCAGTGTCATCATAATTTTGTCTTCTTAAGCGACTTCAGAATAAACAGGAGGTCTTTGATTCCTCATAACACCGTCATTTGTGCACCCATTTTGGAGGCTTCTTTGATTTGGAAA